TAGAGAAGACTGTTGGCGACCCTCAGTGATACCTGCTGAAAATATTATCATTGTAGCAATGTTTTCATTGGCTCTGCAAACACAAAAAGTCAAAAGATAGTCTATGAGCAAGAACAGAAAAATGTCACTTTAAAAACCCACAAAGCTCAAAGTTATCTTATTACATTAGATTGTTATTGTTGAAAATATTTAGAGTTTGATTAAACTCAGCTGAAATACCCTCCCCACTCCCTTGTCTCCCAGTTGGCTCGCACAAGCTTTGATTTCCCTGTAGTTCCTGTGTGCAGACAGCCACAGCTTTCTATAAGCCCATATGTGGGATTTCTTTTTACCTGAATTTCTAAACTTGTCAGATTAGAACAAGAACTTTTTCCCCAATAAGTGTGATGTTGGCTATGGGTTTTTTGTATACAGCCTTAATTATTTGCAAGTAAGATCCTTCTCTACCTAACATCTTCCAAAGTTTTATCATGAAGGATATTGAGTTTTGTCAAAGGCTTTTTCTACAACTATTTAGATGACCACTGACTTTCTTTCTGTGGTGTATTACGTTTATTAATTTCTATGTGTTTAATCATCACTGTACCCCTTCGTCTCCCACATTTCTAAATGGCACAACATCCAGGACTTGGCCATTCTCTCAGATTTCTTCTCTAGCTGCACTCGTGCCCCAGGTAATCACACTCACACCGTGAAATGTACCTGCACACTGAGTGACCCGAAGTGTACATGTCTGCCAGTGAATTCCTTATCAAACTTGAACAGCCTGCGACAACTTTGCCCAATAGGATAAGCATCTCAAAATGAGCATGTTCAACTTCTATTTACCCCCAGCAAAACCTTCATCCAGGGTCCCTGCTCTGTAAACGGCAGCTCCTCTACTAACTGATTTTTCTTATCTCATGCTTAGATCTGCATTCTCCTCTTGGCTTCATATTTCTAATATATCCGGTCCTTCTCCACCAGGTAGCTCTGGCCTGGATCATACTCAGAATATCCTAATGGACCTCTCCTTCCAGGATGCCCTCCTGAAGTCTTTTCTGTGAGGAACCAAAGGGGTCCAATCAATCCAGATCATTTCACTCCACCAACCTTGGGAAAGATAAAAGTTCTATAAGATCTGTGTGGTTTATGCTTCCACTACCTTTCTGACTTTATCTCCTTGCTTCTCCATCTCTCTCAACACCCCCTAGCCACATTGGCTTCCTCAGAATTCCTCGTAAAAGCCAAAGGCTTCCTTTCTTAGGACCTCCCTCTGCACGACTCCTTCTTTCAGTCTCTTTGGTCTCTGTCCAAACATCCCTTTTTTTAGAGAATCTTTCCTGTTCTACTTTATCTGAAATAGGATCTCTCAGCTCACATTTGCTATCCTCTTCTGTCATATTTCTTTGAAGCACTTACTGTTGTCTGACAGTAAGTCATGACATATAGTATAGATATTGTCATGACAGTATCTATTTGAGCGTTTGCTTATTTTCTGTCACCACCTACTAAATTATTGCTCCACTGAGGGCAGCCCATATCAATCTCTCTGTTCTCTGCTGTATCCCCAGGGGAGGACAGCCTGGCATGTAGCAAATATACAATCAATATTTTATGTACTCTACTGAATATCAAAATGAGAAAGTAGTATATAATGCTTCTAGATTAAGAACAAGGACACATTGTACCTGCTCAGAAGCACAACTGCTTTTTGACCCAAAACATAATTACATGTGATTGCAATTTTTAGTGTTTTTAGAACACAATAAAGTCTGTCTTTAGTAATACAAAGAGTGCCCTCTACCATGCTGTTTAGATGTACACATTGTTGCAGAAACAGGGGAGGGTGGGGGGGGATGATCAAAATATCATATATTTGTATCAATTCCCCCAAATACATGTAATTATTATGCATCAGAAACACACACTAAAAAAAAACAGATGGTGCATTTAGCCAAATAATATATTATGGTAAAAGACGCATCATCAAGTCCCCCTGAAAATACCCTTGCTTCAAATACACTTATCCTGTTGCTTTTGTCAAGTGCTGAAGCTGAAAGTCCTCTTTTCTTAGTGCCTTTTTGTGGCAGCCACAATGTCCTGAACAAATTCAAAATGTTTATGGCAAAGCCGGGCATGGTGGCCCCTATAATCCCTGCACTCGGGAGGCTGAGGCAGGAGGATTGCTGTGAGTTTGAAAACAGCCTGGGCTACATTGTGAGTTCCAGGTCAGTCTCAACTACATAGTGAAACCCTATCTCAAAAAAAAAATGTTTATAGCAATCTCTGTCAAATAAAAGCTTTATGGCACGTCCTCATCCACCCTATTTACTAGATCTGGCACTGTGCAACTTTTAGCTCTTTCCCATAGTCAAAAATAAATATTTTGAATTGATTCAGGACTCAAGGCAGCAATGATAGCATCCCTAAAGATACAAAAAAAGACCTCCAAAACTGCTTCAGAAAGTGGCAAAAATGATGAATTTGAAGTGAAGGGATAGAAAGTGAGTGGGGTTAATAGCAGTATGCATTTTACTGTGATATATTTATTAAACATCTTAATTTTAAAATTTTTATTTATTTTTGGGGTGGTACCAGGGATAGAACTCAGGACCTTGCTCTTGCAAGGCAGGCAAGGTGCCACGGAGCTCAATTCCTGACTAAACATTTTAAATCTTCACCATTTTTTTCTTAATCACACCTTGTGTTAGTCAGCTTTCTGTCTCTAGGACAAAATACCTGAGATATTTTGATTGTAAGGAATAAAGGTTTATTTTGGCTTACGGTTTTAGCTTATCATTTAAAAGTTTTCAGTTCACAGTTGTTTGACTCAGCTCTTTTGGGCCTGTGGTGGAAAGTGCATGGCGGAACAGAGCTGCTCACCTCGTGGCAGAAAGGTTTCCTACTTCCCGAAAGTGCCCCCAGGTAGGGATCAAGCCTTCCGTACATACGCCCTTGAAAGACATGTAAGGTCCAAAGCACACCCAAACAGTTACAGTTTGGGGGCTGTTCCTGCACATGGCGATAATACGGCAGTGAGGCTGCGTGAGAAATGGAATGAGGTATAGTTGACTTGCAAAGGCTCTAGTTACATCTCTCAAGCTGACTGCATGGAGCAAACACCTGGGACTATTAAAGACTACTAATGCTCAGGTGGCTTTACCAAGATGAGTTTCTTCCCTTCTCATCTTTGGACCTTTGGGTTGGTTTTTCTTGCCTTGTTTAGGTGGGTTACCGTGGAGGGCAGTTTGGCTCCGTTTTTCCCTCAAAGCCAAGAGGAAACACCTGGTATGACTGAAGAAAACTGCTCACCTCATGGTACCCAGGGAGCAAAGAGAGATGGGAGGAGCTAGGCAGATACCGTATACCATACCATCTGGCCGGAGGCAGATAGGCCCCACTTCCTAACAGAATATTTAGTTATAAATGGATTCATCCACTGATGAGCAGAACATCCCCATGACCCAGTCACCTTCCCAAAGCCCCATCTCTGAGCACGTGAGGCTTCGGCAGGACATCCTAGATCTAAATCATAACATCCATAGAAGTAATAGTGTAATCAACACGCGTGAAATTTGAATAAAATGTTATAACGCAAAACCTTTCCAGAAAGATGTATTTTAATAATGAAAAAGCATTAGTAAAGTTTTCTGTGTATATCTATTGTGATAGTAAACATGTACAGTCAAATACATACAGCTAAATTGTTAAGAATACAATTTGTTTCATCATGAAAGAGCTGTGGCTTCAAAAAGCAAAAAGAGAAAGTTTCGCTTGGAAAATGACACTTAGGAGTTAATAATATCAAAGTCACACTGACTAAAGAAAGCAAATAACACATTTTTAAAGCCATTTTAATATAAACCTTACTGCAAATATACCATTATTTTGAAGACAATACTTAGAAAAGAGAAAAAACTTCAAAGGCACAACGGCTTTCTTCTCTGGCATATTAAAGAATAAGTCTGGCTAATGTTTGTTAAATTATAAAATTTCCTACCTGACAAATTCCCTAGAAAGTACAGAGCATTCCATTTTTAAAAGGTCATAAAAAAGATATAAATCTGTTTTCAGAACAGCTAATATTGGCCCTTAATAAAAATTTACTTTAGGTTACTTTAACATATTAATGTAACAAAATTCCCTTTAAAAAGAATTTTAACCAATACTTGGCATAAAATTAGCCATTTGGCTGAGGTTAATTTTCTAAAGCCAAACAAAAAGCATCCCCTCCCCAACAGCGATGAGACAACTGCCCTTCATATGCCTCTAATGCTTGTTTGTTTTTAACAAAAATCAGTTTACCACCTGCTGGAATCCCAGCCCAGGAACCAGCCTGTGAATGTGGGTGGCTCAAGGCCCTGTTTTATGATGACAATTGGAGTCCTCTTATCTCTTCCAGAAGGATCTGTCTCAAGGTACATTTTGGCTACAAAGAGTTGCAAAGATATAAATTCAATTAGTTTTAGTTAAACTAAAGTCACTATAAAATGAAAATATTTTATATTTGCTAATGAATTAAATTTTCATTGCCCCCCAAGTAGCCAAATATAAAAAATTTCTTGTTGATTTACCTCATCTGCCATAGGAAGCGCCATTATAAAGTCTCACGATTGCTCGATAAAATTTCAAATTTTGTGAAATTATTCTTATGGGATCATGATTGTTATACTTTTCAATAAAAAAACACAATACCTAAAAGAACAGTGTTACTTACTCTAAAGGAAGTTTAAAATTATCTACATCATCATAATTATCAAGGTTTTACTATTTCCATTTAAAAAATAAGGTTTAAATGAATTGAAATTTTTTTAGATATAATTTTATTCTAAATTAGATTTTTAAAAAATTTTTCATTTCTCGTGAAATTCTTCAGTTTTAAAAGATTCCACTACTCTTTAGCTCTGAAGATGATAGGGAAGCTACTTTTTGGTTTTGATATGTATTTTGGAGAGATATGGTGAAGAAAAAAAAAAAAAACAGTTTACTCCTCTAACTACCCACAGGATCTAGCTTACCAGACTTCAGGGACTCTGCTTTCTCAACTTCATTGGCATCTTTGCCAATCCAAATAAATATCTGAAAAAACAAAACAGTAACAATATGTACTGCTTTAGGAGTGTCGTCTTGATGATAGGCCCCGTGCCAAATGCTTTAAGTCCTCGGATCATTTTATTTTGACAACAATTCCAGGTGGAAAGGGGTGAGCAGGGGGCCCACAGCACTTCCCTCACCTTCCAAGTGTTCATTCCCACCAGAGACACTTAAATTTATACCCAGCCGGTCTGACTACAAATTTCACCCTCACATTTTATGTTGACATGGCTTTTTCTACTTTAGGGAGTAATGTTTCTAAAAAACAACAAATTGGTTGTTTCATGACACCCAGACCCTGGAGTGCCTAAGGTAGTTATCACCCACATTTCCCAGATGCTGGAGAGACTGGACAGGAGCAGGTCTAGACGCACAGCTTGCTTGTGGTGGTCCCAGACTCCCTTCAGGAATCTCTGACTTAAGCCTAGTGCTCTTCTCCTGCAGTATTGTGCCCTGTATAACTTTGAAAACATGCTATAATGTTTAGTATTTAAATATCAAAGTTTTAAATTAAATTTGGACGTTCACATATGTGTAATCTGTGATATATATATAGATAGATAGATAGATATAGATATTCCATATGTATCTTTTTTTGTCAAATTTGTTGAAATTTTTTTTTTCAGTACTGGGGATTAAACCCAGCACCTTTGCACTGAGCTATATCCCCAACCCTTTTTAAATTTTTTTACTTTGAAGCAGGGTCTTGCTAAGTTGTTGAATTGCCCATTCTGGACTTAAACTTGTGATCCTCATGCCTCAGCCACCCCAAAGTACTGGGATTATAGGTGTGTGCCACCATTCCCAGAACAGGTTGAATATTTTAATGCTGAAAAGTTCTCTTGAATTATTTTATACTTAAGTCACTTTAAAATCGCTTATTGGCTGAGCAATTTTGCTCACACTAAGTTTCTGGTGTGTTCTAATTCATACTGGAAGTGTCAGAATGCTTGTTTGCAAAACACAAAACACGCCATGACTGTATAATGCAAATAAGTATGACTTAGAAGATATTAATTGTAGTATGTTGAGAAGCCGGGCCTGGATCCTCAATTCACATATGATCACCATAGAACAGAGAGGGCTTCTGTGTAATTTAACTAAATGATTTAGCCATTAGAAACAGACACTAAAATCAATAGTCTGTGTGCCGATTCTAAACCCAGGTCTAATTCAGACAAGGATCTCACACTTGCTCTGTATTATTTGATTCCTAACATTCTTTTTTCTCCGTCTTGCTATTGTTAGTTTACAAAGAGATTTTTTAAAAGCTACCCGATGCGCTATGTCAAATCACCACTGATGTTCACTAGATGAAGATATATAAAACAGTAACGTATTTAACTATTTAGATTCAAACCTACTTGTCCCTGCTTCTTCTCCAGGGCAGGGGTCCCAATAACCTCTTGTCAAATGTCAGAAGAGTTTGCAATAATTTAGTCTCCCTCATAAAAGTGGGCCTCTTAATATACACATCAAAAACATGAATGTATTTTACAAATAAATGAAAAACAGGATTTTTTTTTTTTTTTTTTTTTTTTTTTTTTTTAAAACTTTTGAGACAAAAA